GCTTGTTCAAACCATCTTTTTTCAGACTGTGAGAGCTCATAATCTGTGTTCCAACTCTTAATTGAAGCTGTATGATGTTTAGATTGAGTGAAGTATTGAAAGCAGAAACTGTTGTTATTTATGGATGAACCATTCAATCAAATGGAAATCATTTTGATGTCATTGTTTATACATATTTCCTTCGAGTTCAGCTTGACATATTATGTATTTTTGTGTGAGTTTGTAAAGACCCGTAAAGAAAACGGTGAGAATGTGTATTAAGTAGAAGCATTATCCCTTAAAATGTGAACAAATAGAGTTTCACCTTGATGCATGTCATGATTTTATCCAAGACGGTGTGTTCTTTACAGCCAACATTTCATCTTGGGGTGAAACTGGTTTAACAATGAAGCATTAGATAATTCCTCAAGTGCATCGCCCATATTTACAATCGTAGATTCTCAAAGACTTCACAAGCCCACATTTTATAAAATGATTATCATCACTGTCAAGCACAGAGAACATCTGGGGTGTTTGACCGGAGACCACTGAGCCACCAGAGAGCTCCCTGAAGAGACACATTGATTTCTTATTGTGTTCCGGTTGGTTAGCTTTAGTTGCATTTGATTAAATAATCTGCATTTCAGACAATAATGTGATTATTTTAAAATTCTGCTCCTCAAATGATTCTAAACAAATGTGTAAATGCACAGCAGCGCCTTTCTGAGGCCGTATTTAGGCCAACGTATTTAGTTTTGATTTATTCTGGCGATATTATGATATACCGTATATATATGGATACCAGAACATTCTTTGTACTATCAGGATATACTGTTCATCCTGTTCTAACCATGAAACAGTCGGTCCCGTCGACTAATGAAGCTGCACTGCTGAACCACTTCATCCAAATGCATGAAATGTAGTATTTTGCATTTGTCCGGCGGGCCGAGTGAAGGTAAAATGAGCTTGGCTCCTGTTTGGTTATGGGGAGGGTCCTCCAGCCCGGCACGGAAAACAGCACTTACTGAGTGAGGCCTCCGTCTGTGTTATTGTAGGGCTACAGGAAGAGGGGGGAGAGAGGGGGGAGGGTCTGGAGAGGGTGAGGGCCCACCACTGGGTATTGTATGATATCTTATGAAAAGTCATACCTCATTTTTTAGTTACCAAACAACTCAGTTAGGTTTAGGCAACAAAAGCACTAAGGTTTAGGAAAAGATCGTCGTTTGGGTTCAAATAACTTAAATACACTATAGTTTCGAGACAAATAAATCAACGTTGACTTCTTTTCTCACTTGGGGAATGAACAGCGGCCTCCTTGCTGAAGGAATAGTGTTTGTTGGACCCGTGCACCTCCCCTCCCTCTCACCCTGTGTGTGCTTTTGCAGTGTTTATACTTTCTCGCTCATGATTACGCGGATGACATACGAAATGATTTAGTGGGATATCGATGAATTAAGGCACATTATTCTTTGCAGGTATAGCTCTGCGAATGCTGGATGAGACCAACCTGATGTCCACAAGCCTTGAAAATGCTTTTCAGGATATGGCTCCTAATGTAATCCAGATTCAGAGTTTAATCACATACTGTATATAGACATTGCATAGTATGGAGTGCAAACAACATATGAAGCACAATAATGAGAAAAGAATTGCACTTCATGTAAGTCAACGAGTCTGTATATTTTGTTCTTCTTTTCCACAATAACGTATACTGTACGCAGTCACAATGATAAGATGGTGCATTATGTGAAAGCTACAGCGCCAAGTCAACAGTTCTCAACAGAGACTGAGAAAAATGTTTTTTGAAAATTCAATTAACAAAAAAATCTTTTACAGACACAAACATTTGTCCAGATTCTTTATTGACTGTAGATGTAAAACTCTGAACAACGTTTTTTTAGGAGTTGGCAGTGAGAGCATTGTCAGTCACTGCTACACCATAGTGAACAGAAAATAAGAGAATTCATTGATTTCAACTTGATTCAAACTTGCAGAAATCTTCTCAACCTGATTGAGACTGAGTTTGGTGAGGTAAAACACAGGTCTATTATATCATCATTTTGTTTTGTTTATTTTTGACAGAGGGAAAGAGAGAACAAGTAAGAGACGAGACAGTTTAGTTTTTTGAGGTATGTGACACAGTGCCTCCTTTGCCACAGTAATAACTGTAACAAAACATTGATATTTAAATAATCAGTTCATCTTTTTTCCAACAACTTTTTGTTTTTATTGATTTTATAAACTCCCTTGTATATGTCCTCAACTGTTTCCAGCCGATTGTTTGCCTTTAGATGTTCCATTTTTTTCATTTTTCATTTGTTTGAGTGCTGTCTCATTCTCATGATCTACAAAATATATAATTTCCTCATTTTGTAGGCTTATGAGACGTGTTCTCAGGATTATATTGTGTTTTTCTGTGTACCCTGTTCTAAATTAAACTAGCATTTCTTTATATGTTTATATTTCGAGCAGGAGAGTATTAAGACGCTTGTGTTTTCACTGACACTAATATTTTCATTCTCTTCTTTCTGTGGCCAGCCGTGTCTTATTCTCGCTCACACACACACTGCCCACAGGACAATAATGTCCTCTGACAGGCTGGTAAGGTCAACCCTTGGGCTGTGTTATAGCTGCACTGCAGGGGATTGTTCTGGAGATGGGCATAAACCTTCAAGTCTTTACCCAACTGACACTGAGATATTAACTGAAGAATGTGTGTCTATCTAAGTGTGGTTTTGTCAGACTGTGTGTGTGTGTGTGAGTGTGTGTGTGTGTGTGTGTGTGTGTGTGTGTGTGTGTGTGTGTG